GAATAGTTTTCAGACCACACGCTGAGATTTTTGCTTAGGTCGATATTATTAAGGATTCATTTCACTTACAAACCTATCATAATGAGATTTGAACCCGAGTAGAAACGCCAATTTCTTAACCAATCTAATAAAAATAATAAAAGTTTATTATTCATAGTTTAAAGAACATTCTGAAACGTTAATCCTATAAAGGAAAATTACATCTAACTTTCTACGAAATTCATCACACAATATTTGACTTTTTTAAATAAATCTCTGCAATCCCCGTCGAGCTTTTATCCTTTCCCTTTATAAACAGTCTTTTCTCTCTCCTTCAATCTCTGTAACCCCCTGCGTACTAGTGGTATTCCCACATGACTTGGGTAGAAATGATTAAATCAACCAGAAAGTTGTTGATCACCTCAATAAGACAACCTCTTGAGCGACAAACAGTGTGATCCACTGCTGATATCCCGGGATTTGTACCGAGTGAACCTCATTGTAAAACAAAAAGTAGCCGGGTAAACTCTCTCTGAATATATGCTGCAATAATGTTGTTCTTTGATTTGTATTAGATAATCGTCAAAAAATATGTTTTTCCGAATCTCTGAAGTTTGGTGACTTTCTTAACATGTTCCATTTTCTTTCAGTCGATCTGTGAGTTTTGTGGTATTTTGGTAGACTATTTTGTAATAGTTTCACCCCCAAGCAAAACGCTAATGCCATTAAGACGCAAGAGGTTATTGGGAATAAAAAAGAATGAGACGATTTTAGTGAGGAGAAAGGATAATAAAAGAATAGGATTCAGCAAGACTTAAATAAGATGGTGATTAGCGTTTAGATTTTTAAGATCTTGTGTGTCAGCGAAGCAAAAAAACCGGAAAAGAATTCTACAGGTGAGAAGTACGTGAAAAGAAATTATTACCTACAGCGTTCTCATCTTTTGGTGTTTTTTTCTTCTAAAATGCAAAGAATCGGAACTATGGAATGACAAATAAGTGACAAACAAGTAGTTCTATTTAAGAGTTTTACAGAATTGTATTCCGTTTATTTGATCCTTGAACTTCTAAGTTGATTTCGGAACGATGGGTACCGAATACTTGATCTTAAAACTGCAGATATTGATTTGAATATGTGAAATTAATTTGGCGGAGAAAGGAATGAAAAGAAACGTAAAATTCTAATTACTTAGAGGTTTTGACTACTGAGATTCAAAATTGTATGAAATGGAAGAAAATAAATGCTTTTGTTCTGCCATTCGGTACAACAGTTTTAAAAGAAAAATATTTTTTTATAAATAGATTGAAGAAATAAAAATTATTATGAAGGGTAATGATCAAAGGTGAAGATTTCAAACAAGATGCAGAGAAGCGCAAATGAATAAACTCTATCGGATAAACAATGGAATTAAATGAAACCAGGTAAGTTGAAAGTTATGCAAGTTATGAATAAAGTACAAAAGTATTTCTGAAATGTTATAGATAGATAGATAGATAGATAGATAGATAGAGAGAGAGAGAGAGAGAGAGAGAGAGAGAGAGAGATTAACAAACAGGGATTGGTGTGTATGTTTGACACGTTTGTAGCCGAATTTTGATCTGAAACTTTCTCAGTGAATCCGATCTGTGTAGTCAATATTTACTCTTGAATAAGTTCATTAGAAAATGAAATGTGTTGTTGTAAATTAACTGTTTGTTGTTTACAATACATTTTACTAGCCTGCAGATTTAGATAGATCAAAAGATGAGAAACAACAAGCAAGAAAGGTGAAAGTGAATAGGTATGAAAAAGCTGATTATTAAACGTAACAAGATTTAACGAAGGAAACAATTTAAAAAGTAAACGGATCAGGAATAATAATAATAATAATAATAATAATAATAATAATAATAATAATAATAAACTTCTCAATTGACACCGCGTGCATCATCCTAATGCTGATGCTGATCGTATGTATGTGCCGAGATCCGAAGGAGGCAGGGGATTAGTTACACTGGAAATGGCTTCCGAAATCACAACAATCGGTCTTCAAACTACAGAAGACTGTATTATGATCTGTATTATGATCAGTATTATGATATGTATTACGATCTGTCTTAAAGAACATGAAAGAAATAAGAAATTTTATTCAGTAATAAAGGAAATGAACAAATTCAAAAGGAAATTTCAAGTTGGTGAAGAATTGCAAATAAACCATAATACACCTACTGCAGAGGCAAAGCAACTAAAAATGAAAGCAAAAGCAAATACAATGTACCATATGGAGAATCGATAGCAAGATAAGCCTCTTCTTGGTCAATAGTGTTCCTGTATCAAACAAGCTGATGTAGACAAACCCCTTATCCATCAGTAGGTAGGTAGTTCAGGGTTAAAAGCTGATAAGAAAGTTTTATTTTCGTTTCACAGGACCAATGCTTGCTAACTAGAAATTACCAAGCACACATTCTGAAAAATTGTTAACCCGAAATGCAGATTCTGTGATAAATATCCCGAAACAACTGATTATTTTGTATTAGGACGCAGAGTGTTAGCATCTAACGAACATAAAACTCGGCATAATAGACTGAGCCAATATCTTTTACGAGAAGGAAACTGCAAGAAACTGGTATGAACATCACTCAGACCCGTTTACAGAGATAGGACTTGTAATCATTTTATGGGATTTTATAATACACACAGACAGAATAATCAAAAATTAATCGCCCAGACATATCGATCAAATACCGCAAGAACAGAGTGTCCTTTCTTATTGACATGACAGTCTGCAGATTGTAATGTATCTTTGAAGATCTTTAAAAAAAACCATCAAAATGCATGCATCTTGAAGTGGAAATCTTAAAAATGTGGGCATCAATAATTCCAATTATAGTTGGAGCCCTCGGATTTATTGGAAAAGCTTCCGATAGGCTTAGTGACGTAGACGTAGCCCATACCTTAAAGAATTACAAAAGATTGCACTCGCAAGTACAGCTCAAACACTACGAAGAGCTTTATCTATATAAAATGTGTGGAACATACCATGAAGCCATTTCTGACCTTAGGTCTCTGGTTGAGACCTAGAAGGAAATGTGTATACAACAGAAATTAAAGGAAATAATAATAATAATAATAATAATAATAATAATAATAATAATTTCTACGGGAAGGAAACTGAAAATCTGCAAATTCTACGGGAAGGAAACTGAAAGAAACTGGTATGAACACCACCCAGACCCAGTTACGGAGATAGGAGCTGTTACAATTCTATGGGACTACACAATACACACTGACAGAACAATCAAGGCCAACCACCCAGATATTGTTATTAAAGACCACAAACAAAAAAAAGTGCCTCCTTATTGACTGGCAGTCCCTGCTGACTAAAATGTATCTTTGAAGATATTCAAAAAGCTGTCAAAATACAAGGACCTTGAAATAGAATATCTCGAAAATGTGGCATATGGGAACATCAACAATGCCTGTTGTCGTTGGAGCCCTAGGACTGGTTGGAAAAGATTGCAGTAGACTAATTGATGGGATTCCTGGAAGTCCATGCCTTAAGGAGATACAAAAAAATTGTTCTGACAAGTATAGCCCACACTTTACGAAGGGCTTTATCTATGTAATATTTTTTTTTTTGTCAGTGGAAAGTGTCATGACGCCATTTCTAACCTTAGGTCCCTGGGTGGGACCCGAAAAGAAATGTGTAAACGCCAGAAATCAAAGATAATTTAAAAATAATAATAATAATAATAATAATAATAATAATAATAATAATAATAATAATATGTAAAATGCTTGTGCTTTTAGGTTGACTGCTTTTTTTTTTCTTTACAACAATACTCAGTGACAATGGCATTTCTCACCTTAGTGCTCTGGTTGGGAGCCAGAAGGAAATTCGTATACAGCAGAAATTAATGGAACCACCGCCACTCCTACCACCACCACCAATAACAACAACGAAAACAACAACTATAATAATAGTAAATACAAAGTAAAAAACATGAAGGAAAAAAATCCTAATAAGAAACAGCAAACAAGAAAATATATAACTAAAATCATGAGAAAGAAGCCATAAAGTCTCGCTTATCAAAATGGTAACAGATGTAAAGACAAAAAAAAAAAAGCCCAAAAAAGCGATGACATAAAAGGGTAATTAATTGAAAGGAAAATATGTAAACATAAAAGAAAAGAAGAAAACAAATCAGAAATCGAATCGTAAAAGAGAAGTCGTTTTAGTGTGTGCACGCTATATTTTTATGAACTGTTTTGATGTATGTAATATTGCTTACATTCTCCTACGGTAACTGGTATTTGATGCCTATTCATCTGGTCATTCTCACCATAAAAGACGCCATTATCTGTTACCGGCGATCAAGACCCAACATAAATGGAAATTGTTGCCAGAGTTCTGTACCTCTTTCGTTCTGCTAAAAATTCTTTTTTTGTTCAACTTTTGAGTTTGATGCTGTCTATCAATGTAACAAAATTTTGCATAGAAAGAGGCGCTTCCAGTGAAGTAAAATAAATCAATTTACCTTCTAAAATGTTATTGTTTTTCCTACATTTAGTAATTAATTCCACACCTTCGTTCAGCGTTTATTTCCTTTCTGTCTTTAGGAACTCATACAATTTCATGAGAAATAAAAAAAAATAATAAAAAAAAAACGGTATTCTTTCTTTTAATTTTTGTCATTATTTTTTTTAAATTTGAAAACAAATCCAATGTATGTTTGCGCACAGACTTTTGTATTGGTGTTTTTTTTGTTTTTTTTTTTAAATTATATCAGTCAATTTTTTTTTTAAGAATATATTTGTATATACCACGTAATCACGTGCACAGATAACGTAAGTAATAGATATTATTTCACTAAGATTCGATATTTAATATATTCCGTGACAATTACTTGATAGAGTTTTAAAGATATATTAGAAAAAAATGAGCGCATAATTACTTCGAAATCTAACAGCATGTAAAATCCGACAGTAGGCGTATCAGGTTTTAGTAGAATGAGTTTGCATCAAATTCCATTCACATTACGTCGAAACATTGGTTCCCGTACGATCAACGAAGTTAAGCAATGTCAAGCTTGGTCAGTATTTAGACGGGTAGCCGCTTGGGAATTCCAGGTGCCGTAAGTTTCGATGTGCATGTGGTGTAATGAATAATGGCTCGGAATTTTAATCGGGGAGCCGATTTCCAATTCTCGTTGGGTTCGTTATAATTGCACATTGGGAAATGTATTAATCCAACTCTTCTCTCCCCATCTATGGGTTAATTCGTAAGAATTGTATCTCTAAACCGTTATTTTCTCGAAAAATAAAATATAATTCTTACAGTCTAAAAAGATATTTTCTAGCTTTAAATAACCTGCAATGAGTTGAATAACCCCAGAAAACGAACGAATGAATCAAATACAATAGCGTTCAGCTTGTGAATTCGATACTTGCAATTATGAATTGCCCGTTTGTGCTATAATAAAGAAGAAGCCATCACATATTTTTTTTTTTTATTATTCAAGATGATGCCTTCCTTCAATAAGATGGGAAACTGATAAAGAAAATCACTGGAAGTGGGAAATTTAACAGAGAGTTTCCAGTTATTCCAAAAAACGACAATACTGTATTTTCACATATGTTATTATTGTTGATCAGCTAAGAGTATTCCACATCACAAATCAGTCAACATTCAACCATTTCAGCAGTAAGTACTGGAACAAAAGTTTGTAGTGGTTTTCAATAAGTGGCATCTGAACACGTGACTTCAAAAATGACTGGAACTTATGGAACACATACATATGGTGTTATGTCAATGCAACTTTTTAGAATTTGTGTGAATTGTAAAATTGAATGCTTTTATATTGAAAAAGTTCAATTTTTTTTAATTCCCGGAAAGGATAAATGGCGTATAAACAGAAAAATAATTATATGTTTCGTTTATGGGAATAGTGCCATAGCTGAGAGTACTCTTCGTAAATCAGAAGTGGATTTTTTTTATCTGGAAGTCTGAGAACGTTCCAGAAGGCTTGTAATCATTGATGATGTCCAAATTGTAACGTTGATAAAATTACTCCAGTTTCCATGACACAGGAAATAGCAGAGATTCTTCATAGATCTCATGTGAACGTGTAATACATATGAAAACATGTTTATACGTGTATCTATTACGTTATTTAGTTGCCATAACAGAATTTTCCATCTACGATTCTATGGTCTATGTTTTAAAAGCATAATGAGAGCCGTTGAAAAACAATAGTCTATAATAATGTAGAACGTAAAAACCCTAGCAGAAATTAGATAACACAACCATAACCTCTACAAACGAAGATTTGAATTAAAAGAAGCTGAATATGTGTATCTGGTGGGATTGGAAGCTGATTGTGTATTTAGCGTTCCTTTTACCAATCTAAAATAGAAACAATTAAAGACAACAGTCAATGAAAATTGTCAGAAATTGGCCAATTGGGAGAGTTTTTTTTTTTTTTTTCATTAGACCTGATACCTCTTTGCACACCCGGCAGAAATTGGTTCACTTTAAAAGGGATGTTCCACTACACCGGCCGTACACTTTCTGTTTAACATATTTTTATTCCCACATAATTCTCTTAATGGGAAGAACAATTCTCTACAAGACTTCATCATCCAGAAAGATGCCAATTTCACGGAGGATTGAATCATGAACCTACCTCAAAGATGGTGAAACGTCGTAAAAGAAAATTGCACATATTTAGTTGAATAAATCTATGTAAAAATAATTAAATTTTTTCTATAGCAGATTTAGTAGAATTTCATTTTTTTCAAAAATGTTCTTATTTGCTTAGATTTCTAGGTGCGGACCAGATTTCTTGATTGCTTAAATAAAAATTGAGTTTAATCGGTATACGAAGAGAATATGAAATTGGAATTATATATAATTTGAATAAAAAACTTCTCCCAATATTCAGTGATGGGATTTTTCTTATTTTTTTTAATATTTTGTTTGTTTGTTGTTGTTTTTTTTGTATTTTGTTTGTTTGTTGTTTTTTTTTTTTTTTTTTTTTTTGCAAAGCAACATTATTTATACAGAGTTTAGATTTCCGTGTCATATAAGACAAAATGCTCAAGAGGTATTAAGTACCACTCGTGTTGCTTGATTTTAATCATGTTCAAGTATATCTGATTCCTTTTAATTCATGAAATAAGGAAAAGCGTTACAAATCTTGCAAAGAGTGTTTGTTATACTGTAATAGGAAAAGATGTCTGATGTAATAAAATCGATATATGAAAGACTAAAATTTAAACCTAAAATTGACAGGCTTATTATTAATATTAATTGACTGGCTTATTATTAATATTAATTTGCAGGCTTGTTATTAATATTAATTAGTATTAATATTAATTATAATTGACAGGCTTATTATTAATATTAATTTACAATTAGTATAAGGCGCTCTTCCATGCAGATAAATTCCTATAGAGTCAGGCCTATAATAGATAAGAACATGTCCAAGAACTATGTATATTCACTTCATTCCCGTTGTCGAAAAGAATATAAAGGAAAGACTAGACGCCCTATAAATATATGAGTGGAGAAACATGGAAAATCTGTAATAAGTGGCGAGACATTAAATCAGGCATGGCCGATCATGTATTGAGGAATATTCGTAGTTCCCAAGCGCTGCGTATTATGAAAACAAAAAATAGAGAAAGAAGAGTCAGACGTTTGAAAGAATCAGAGCCTATACATAACTGCTAGATTCAGATGTCTAACTGCTCAGTGTTCTTGCTTTTCTAGTAGTTTTTACTGTTTTAATCAACTGGGCCTTTACTACAGCCATAATTTCTTCTTTTTTTTGCCAACTGAAAGTTTAAGTGATCTTACAATCGAAAAGGTAGTACAGATTATTTTTGTTGTATGTTATAAATAATGATTTCATAATCTCCGAGTATTTTACGTTTAAATCCCATTTTATATTCCTTTCATCTATCATTTTTTTGATAGTTATATTTGTTTATTTAAGTACACCTCTTGTAATTTGTGTTGCTTGCTATTGTTTTTTTTCTTATTCAATCTTATATGGTGTATTTAAAGAAACGTGAATATTCTGGAAAATTGTCCTGTACGTAATATATATACATGTAGATTATATATGTTCCAAACGTTCTCAAAACCGGTGGAAGTTTATCATCGTTTGATTATATATATATATATATATATATATATATATATATATTAAAAAAAAACAAAAACGTTGATGGTATGATACTATTTGTCGTGGCGACGGTAAAACGGAAGAAAGTTTTATTAAAACATAAGAAAATGTTTAATACCAAAATCCCGTGGGAAGAATTAAGGACATAATTCACACAAAAAACGACTTGAATTGTATGTGCAGTTTGAACAATGGAAAAGTGGCCCAGACTTAGGGGGTAATGTTGATTGACATATAGCTGCAAATGCGGGCTGGAAAGCGAAAAACTAAATTTTGTAAACAACTGAATTTGGAATTAAGTTTTCCTGGACTGAATGTGGTAGATGTAGCAGTGGCAGATAATACATCAAGGAGGATGGGGGGGGACCATCCTCGCTCACTGAAGGGGTTGGTGCGAGGGGATAATAAAAGAGTGTTTGGAGGGAGAGAATTCTCCAAAGTTATGACCTAAGTCGGAGGAGATTCCCCGAAATGCTCCTACCTCGCCATATCGCCATACCTGTTTGGGCGAATGTCCATAAATACAAATGCGCGAAGCGAATTAATCAGAAGAAAAGCAGAAGAATCGGCGACGGGACCAGAGACAGGAGAGAGGCCTACGTGATTAATCTGCCGACGAAAGCCTCCGACGAAAGCCTTGTGCCGAACTTTACCAAAACAGCCACCCAAGGTTTATCAAGTCGACAACAATAATATTACTTCCGATTCAGACGCGGGTTGGGATGATAATTAATTGCTAGCGGACTCTGACATCAACCAATTATTGTACGAAGGACTGATATAAAAACAGTATTTACTTTTTGTTCATTTTATTCGAGTGTTATTTTTTTTTGTACGTCTTTGCCCTGCTTGGACCCGTCCGACACAAACATACCTGCGAACATTCAATTTTGGCCTCCTTATGATCAAAATTAAATCACAACGTGGGGTAAGGCAGGTCGGATATATAAGCGATCTTCATAGATCAGCCGCGAGGTTGGAAATCTTGGACGACCGGGGAGTGTATTGTACGATTTCAATAAATTTTATCTGTAGTTGAAGACATACAGTTCTGTTCAAAATATATCTACTTGAAGCCATAAAATTGTGTTCAAAATATTTAGGTTTTGTCATTAAATAACCCATAGAGATTGATATACCGCTAAAAATAATCCACCACCACACGTATAGACTCTTTCTTATGCCTTGATATATTTATATTTACTTATAAACAATCTATGGATTGGTATATATGAGTCTAAGGAAGCGTCTGTGTATTAGCATATGAATTGAAAATATTTCTTAATACTTTTCGGCAAAGGTTCGAACTTGATTTAAAATGATGTGCTAATTGGAAGAACCCTCAACTCATGTTCTTATTTTTCATAAGTGACGTAATCAATTTTCATTTGCTTTCGCAATTTACGATTCAATTAAATTCAAAAGCAAGAGAGACGATGTAGAAAGAAAGACTGAACAGAGGAAGCAGAGGAGACAGAAATTAAGAATAAAGGATGAAAAATATATTTAAATTTAAAACAAAAAGCAAACGGCTAACATTACAAGATGGGAAAATTCATGTATGCAGGAAAGGGCGAATTAAAGAATAAAGGTCAGAATGAGAAATGAAAACAGAAAGATTGAGTAGGAACATGAATGGGAAGAGGAGACAAATAGAAAAAGGATGAGCGAATGAAAAAAGAACTAATGTGTGTTATAAAAAGGAAGAGATAAATGAATAAAAAAATAAAAACAAAAACAACCAAGGCAACCATAAAAGTAACAGGAAATGGAAAAATGCCATACTTTAAATAAGGAATAAAAAAACATGGAAATTTACCTAAAATACTAAGGGCTCTTCTATCAAGAATGGTATAGAATTTCGTGCCCAAACATTTAATTTAATTATCGAGTATTAGCACTAGGATTACATTAATTATGACGCATTCGGTTCAGGATTGAAACACT